AGAACCCACAGGTCTCCCTCTCTTTAACTGAGCCCTAGGCTCATTCATTGTATCTCCATCAATTTGTTCTTCGGGAACAACAACTCTTGATGGAACGTTTTCAGCGAGTATATATGATTTCGTCACCCTTCTCGTATCTATGAACGCATCTGGTAACTGGTTTGCCAAATTATGCAAATGCACAATTTTCTGAACTTCCAGCTCTCTTTGATTCGTAGGGGGATCAAGGTGTAACAACGATGGTGTACACCAAGTAATCTCTTTAGGAACTTGTCTAATTCCTCCCCCTAACGCTGGAAATTATTCTTCATTAAAATGACAATCAGAAAATCGTGCCGTAAACATATCACCAATTACTGGTTCCAAATATCTTATTATACTTGGTGACACATAACCCACATATACTCCCAATCTCCTCTGTGGGCCCATTTTTGTTCTTTGTGGCGGAGCTATTGGAACATAGACCGCACACCCAAAGATACGGAGATGGGATACATCTGGCTCATGCCCAGACGCTAATTGTAATGGGGAGTACTTATGATATGCACTCAGTCTTAGCCGAATCAGTGCATCCGCAAGCAAAATAGCATGACCCCATACTGAAATTGGGAGCTTTTTTCTCAAGATCAACGGCCTTGCATCAACTGCAACCGTTTAATTAATGACTCGGCCATGCCATTTTGTGTATGAACATGGGGCACTGGATCTTCTACATCAATCCCCACTGACATACAATAATCATTAAAGGCTTGCGATGTAAATTCACCAGCATTATCAAGCCTTACTTACTTAATGGCATATCCTGAGAACTACGTTCTCAGCCTTATTATTTGAGCAATGAACTTTGCGAAAGCCGTATTTCGTGTTGTCAAAAGACACACATTTGACCATCTACTAGATGCGTCAATCAATACCATGAAATACTTAAACGGCCCGCACGGTGGGTGGATCGGCCCACATATATCACCATGTATTCTTTCTAAAAACATTGGTGATTCATTGTCTATTTTTGCTGGTGATGACCGAGTTATAAGTTTTCTTTGAGAACATGCTTTACATATAAACTCGCCCGTCTGCAAAATTCTTCCGTTTTTCAACGGATGGCCATTTGAATTTTGCACTATTTTTCTCATCATGAATGAACCAGGATGTCCTACACTCTCATGCCAGATTTTAAATGTATCAGTAAACTTCATGTTTACCATGGCATAGGACTCAGTCATGTGTATTCTTGTACAATATAGTCCAGAGGATAACATTTTTAACTCTTCCAATATATGTTTCCCCTCGGACTTAATGCAAAGAAATTCAATGCCATCTTTACACATAGTCTCAATATGGTATCCATTTCTTCGGATATCCTTGAAACTTAACAAGTTTTTGTTAGACTCGAGGGAGTATAATGCATTACTTATTTCAAATATCATCCCCCTTGGCATTGAAAATTTTACTCTTCCAGAGCCCATTATAATATTTGCATTACCAGATATTGTACTTACGCTTCCAGCGTAATCTTTTATTTTGAGACTGGAGAAATATTTCTTATCTTTGATTATCGTGTGCGTCGTAGCACTATCTGCCAAACACATATCTCCATCCATAGTCTCAAAGTTTGGCATTCTTTCTGAAAACATGTATTATTAAACTTATCACATAACATAAAACATGCATTACTAAACAATAAAGATAATGTATATCTTACAACAAAAGATATAGATACTATAATACAGTAAACTTATATCACATTGATTTTATATTACTCATCGATACTCTCTGGCTCAACCAGAAAATCTGATACGTCGAGATGAGTATCATCATTGAAACCATGAAAGGATGGCCCGGGTTCATCAGAGATGAATTTTGTTTCACCTCATTTCTCTTTTATCTTTTGAGATTCTTTATACAGATCGGCTAAATTTTTTGGCGTCCGGCAAACATGTGCCCAATGCCCTTTCATACCACATCTGTAGCAAACTCCTGTTTGCTTTTTATCATCCCGGCCCCTTTCACCTTTTTCATTTTCGTGGAAATCTTTATTATTTCTTTTATCATATGGACGGAATCTTCTTCCCGTCCTCTTCCACGACCATGATTTCGACCACGTCCACGACATCTTCCTCTCCAATTATCATAACTGGATGATGCAACATTCGCTTCAGGGAATGGAGCAGATTCAGTGGGACGAGCCTGATGGTTTAAAGTCACGAGTTGATTATTATGCTCCGCTACAAGGAGGACTTGCATCAACTCCGAGTAACGGGTATATCCACTCGCCCCGTATTGTTGCTGCAGGACTATGTTTCCAGGATGGAACGTGGAGAGAGTTTTTTCGATCATATCATAATCGCTTATATTCTCTCCACATAACATCATCTTAGAGGTAATTCCGAACATTGCGGAATTATACTCACTAACACTTTTGTAGTCTTTGAACCGGAGATGGATCCACTCGTGTTTAGCTTTTGGTAAGATCACATACTTCTGGTGATCAAACCTCTCTTTTAGAGATTTTCAGAGGTCTCCAGGATCCTCTTTCGTGATATATTCATCTTTTAAACCATCATGTATGTGGTGTCGTAAAAATATCATGGCTTTAGCATTTTTCTCATCCGACATCTTTTTTGTATTATCGATGGTTTCCAATATCCCGTTTCCTCTCAGGTGCATCTTTGCACCCACTGCCCAGGTCATATAATTATTTCCCGTAAGATCAAGTGCATTATTTTTTGAGCTTTGTGAGATTCGACATGATAACTGTATTCATAGAATAATAATATAAAAATATAATAACGATGGGAATCTAAATGCATAATTTAAATGCAGAAATTAAAATCATAAAATAAAAGCAAAAATAAATTGCATAAATTTAAATTGCAGTATTTAAAGAACATAAATAAAACTGGAGGCTTAGCCTTCCAAATGATCCGACGAGACATAGTCTACCATGTTGATCATTTTTATCAAGGTTTGAGGAGACATAGTCTGCCATGTTAACCTTTTCTTTTTATCAAGATCCGAGGTGACATATTCATCCATTTTGATCTTTTCTTTTTATTCACGGAGGCAAAGCCTACAACGTGTTTGTCTGATCGTGAAGGCATAGCCTTTCTTAACAATCAGTCGGAGAAGGAAACGCCTATCATCCCGAAAAATAAATGGAGAAGGCTTAGTCTCTCACTCCGAAACAATAATAAAATTACAATAATAAAAATTATTGAAATATATAAATTAAACATTACCTCACCGGTATAACCTTGTTTAGTATAGGATCAGAGCTTCGTGTTGATAACGTGTTATAAATAAATAACTAGAAAGACATAAACTAAACACTTTTAGATTTGTATATGAAAACGAGAGAGAGAGATGAGATAGTAAAATCGTTATTATTATTCATCTTCACTTCACGTACTATTTATAGCACAAGAGATTGTGTTAGTCATCTGTCAATGAACAAAAGAAAGACACATGTATATTGGTGAGTGATGACTAAAAGGGAAGTGAGGACATCTGTTGATGATGGTGATAGATGATCTATAGACATCTGTCTACTTGATGATTAATCACCATTTATAACAATTAGTACATTTTAATTGAGAGAAACATGGGACATATTGAACATAACATGTGTGTGTGTGTGTTTGTCTTTGTGTGTTTGTAAAACTTTAACATGTGTCTCCTTCTATCTTTGCTTTTAACGTCCACAATTTCATATAAAGATACCCTGATGAGCATTCATTATGCAACAAAAAGAGTATGAAATGTAAGGTCCAAGCGTGATCGAGCTACAAGGTGTGATGGAGGAAACAAGAAACATACAATGCAACTATAAGAATGAAAAAGAAAAGATCAAGGAAACATTCTCATATTAAAGAGTTAGTCATGGGGGAGCAGCAGCAGCCCAAGGTTATAATCACAAGAGAGTAACGTTCGTTGCTTTAGTCGCCAAAATAGACTATTATCAAAGATTATTAGAGTATTGGTGCTTGCTTGGAGATTTTAGATTCATAGTTCCTTTCATATGGCTTTAAAAGCTAATTCTTAGATAGTTGGCAACCAAAACTTTCTTTCTAAAAAATAACGAGTATAGAAAAAGAAGGCCAATTTAGATTTTTTAAAAAAAGAAAAAAAAGAAAAAGAGGACTAACAAACAATACAAGTGCTAATACCATCACAGACTGGACGAGCTACAAGAGCAAGGCAACGGAGAGAGAATCGAACCCCTCACCTACAAGTTATGATAGGAAGGACATAGGAGATTAAGGATCCTTATACTGTTCCGGGAAATCTTTTTTTCCAATGTGTCCATCGATGTTATATCGATGGAGCATGGAAAAGCAAAATTTATTTACAAGTCAGATAAACAATAAATCAAAAAAAGAAACAATACAGGTAAATAAGCTAGTGACAACGACACTATAAGGTAACGTCAACGTAAAGAAATTTGATCGAAATTATGTAAGCCAATGCTCCGCTTGTTTAAGGAAATGTCAGAACATGGTTGTGACCAAGACGCCAAAACTTCAGCCGCAAGCATTGGATAGATCAAATTCGAAGATGTTGCTATTCTTGTTGCAACTCATCATATTATTATAGATTTGTTATTTAGTTAATTAAAATCTGCATACAAACTTATGAGGCCATACATCCATAGAACGACCCTTGAAAACATGATTCAAACAAGAAAATGGAGTGGTTACAGAATCCCTTTCTTGCAACCACCACTCTTTCTTTACGAGTCTTATTCGGTTATCGTCTTAGTACCACTCTTCGACTTCGACATCGACATCGACATCGAAACTCAAAGAAAAAAAAGAAAAGAAAAAAAGATGAACCCATAACAGAATATACAATAAAAAAAACGAAGGCCGCCTAATGCATCCGTGGCTGCTGCAGCTGATAATAGATGCGCATAAACACAGCTCTTTGTAGACGGATGAACCAGATTAGTACCAAACGTTACCTACGATTGGCATGGCACTAGTCAATACATTATATATTAAGTCTTTTTAAGTAGTTAATAGACGATGGTCGGGTCTATAAAAGCTCGTCCCATGGCCATCGTTTTATTAGCTGCGTCCTGTTCAGAAGAGCTTCTTTAAAGATTCCTGCATAACTATGCACGAATCTTCAATGTCCTCCTCATCGATCGCCATCTCCTCTGCACGACACTCTGCGCTGCAAAACGCTTTCTCTCCCCTGCAATTTATCACCACACAAACATCACAAGCTTAGCTTGTTCCAAAGAATTCCTCATGCTATTTATATACATAACATTATCTAAGTTGATCAAACCATGATCATCCTACGCTTGTGCAGCGTGCATATGCACCGTATTAGAGAGTCTTGGTAACGGAAGACGCACCTGTACATATATATGTCCTCCCCAACTTCAAGTTTCTTGTTGCAGAAGTTACATACGCTGAGGAAGTTATCCAAAGGAAACATGGAATCCAACTCTGTCTCAACACTCTTCTCTTTGTTATCCTCATTCTTGTGACACTCTAAAACTCGGTCACCATAAATGTGAGTCGTTTTCGAATTAGGACCATGTTTAATGATACAAGTGTAGTCCTCTGACATCTCCATCTCATCCTCTGAAAGAGGACATGAGAATGCATTTTCTGAACCAATCCTTGGAATGTACCCTTCTGCGCCGCCTCCTACCTTGGATTGAGACAAGACATGGGTTTTTGATGGACAATCATTCGCAGAAAAGGAGCGGTTTCTTAAACCGATTTGCTCAGTCTCACCGATTTCGAATACAACACCAGATCTTTCCTTTTCGATCTTTATGGGCTTGGTGTCGGGGAACAACTTGGGATGTTTGTCCCTAATCTCAGAAGACTTGATCCTCAAGGATGGACCAAACACGACATCAGGTGACAAAATCCGATCATCACCGAGAGAATCCACAATGCTTAACCCAACTTTAGCAGGGCCACAACAACAGTTAAGATGAGCGGTTAGTGATGACTTGAGGAAGAATGGGTCAGCCATTGTAGACAGCATCCTAATTTCAAGAGGAGATTTAGGGCTTCTGACAAAATCTGAATCTGAGATGCACTTGTTATTCTTCAGACCAATCAATAGACTCAGAGCCAGTGGTTTAGTGATCGCTTTGTTGTTGTTGTGTCCGACCAGATCGGTTGGCGGATCTACTGACTGAGACATTGTTTGATCTTTGTTACGAAACGTTGCCCATGTTTTCTCCATTTATGGTTATGGTTCTGTGTCATAGATAGAAATAAACTTATTAGGGACTAATATTACGTTTTGTATTCATACATATAATAGAACCGGATAAGTCTAAATAAAAAGTCCGAAATATCTACAAGGATCCTAAGAATGATGATACTTTCCAAGAATATGCCAAAATATTCTTTAAAAAAACCTTTATGAGGAATTGAAGCTTCAAATCAGCGGAGAAATATTTGCAACGGCCAAAACAATATGATAATTTGTATTTATTTTGTAAGCCTATAAATAAACCCTTCAAATATATACATTAAACAAAATTGTGAAGTCAATTAAAGGATTGTTAAACAAGAAAGAAAATCGAAGAAAAAAGCCATGCAAAATTACATTTAAACAAAACATAACAAAAAAATTGATTCCAAGCAGACACAAAAAAATAATATAGTTTAGCTTCTGATAAATTGAAATGTAATTTTGGAGATGGGTTTCTCACATGGATCTTGTAATCTTTCAATCTATATCGTTACTTTTAGGGGAAGAAAATTAAAAAGAAACAAAACTAAGAAAACAGCAGTAAGCAGAAGAAGAAGAAGAACAAAGAGACTTGAGAAATATATATATATCTATTATATAAAGAAGAGCATCACTCCTTCTTAGCACTGCCACGTCGGAATCCAGGCTGGAAAGTCCACGTCAGCAACTGGTTTGGGCCAAATTCGTCTGGGCCTTTTTTTCTTTTTATTTGTATGGCCCTATTGTCTTCACAGAGAAACAGGCGACGACGCTTTGTGTCCTCTTCTCCAGATTTCTGAAACCGCCTACGGCGACTCTAGGTTTTCTTCTTAGCCTCAAGCTTTCTCTGTCTCTCTCTATCTACCTCTTTCTCTTTCTCTTTCTCTCTTTCCCTGATTTTATTTTGATTTGGTATAGGAAGGTGGGTTGTGAGTAGAATTGGTTGTCGTGAGTTGAAGACGGAGGAGGTATCGCGTGGTGGTGGTTCTAGCCGCCTCTGCTCACCGGAGAGTGACGACAAAGGATGTACGGCGTGATGCGGTGGATGAAGAAGATGACGTGATACGGCTGATGGTGATGATAATGTTTATATCTAGATTTAGGTTTTATTTTTGGTTTGGTTTGGTTTGTTGTTTTTTACTTGGTTTAGTTTGAATTTAGATTTTTTTTCCAAAAGGAATCCATTTCAGACGCGGTGGTCCACGCCAAAAGGTTCACTTTGACTCGGATGAAGTACATGCTTGCACTGTCACATGTGGTGGTCTCGATACCGTTATTGAGAAATCGTGAGCAGCTTATCATGCATTATCATGCATGTACGGTGCAAACATAATCCTTGGAATAGATGTAAGCTTTATGATTCATACATAATATTAATCATTTATTGGCTATTGTCCTTATGATTATCATATGTTCATGGTGGATACAGAGGATTCTATGCCAAGAACACTGTCTTCTTAAACTCTGAAGTTGTCAACAACATCCATAAACGAGGAGGGACAATCCTTGGAACCTCACGAGGTGGACATGATACAACAAAGATTTTTGATAGAATCCAAGATCGAGGAATCAATCAGGTTTACATTATTGGTGGAGATGGAACACATAGAGGAGCTCCAGTTATATATATATATAATATATTAGGTAATACCATTTTGATATTTCAGAACATGAATTTTAAGTTTTTAACAGTCAACAGCTGAACTTAGATTGTATTAAAATCATGTAGGAGATCAGAAGGCGTGGTGGCTTAAAGTTGTTGTGGTTGGAATCCCGAAAATAGTCAATAATGATTTTCCGGTGATAGATAGATCTTTTGGGTTTGATACTGCTGTGGAGGAATCTCAGAGAGCTATCAATGCAGCACATGTTGAAGCAGAGAGTGATGAGAATGGTATCGGTTTTGTTAAGCTCATGGGTCGTTACAGTGGTAAGTTTTTCTCTTAACATTAACAGTTAAAAAAAACCTTTGACCTGTTACTGATTATTAAAAGGCTAAACCAGGATTCAGAGTGATGTATGCTACATTAGCCAGCAGAGATGTGGAATGCTGCTTGATTCCAGAGTCACCGTTTTACCTTGAAGGTGAATGTGGACTGTTGGAGTTCATAGAGAGACGGATCAATGAGAATGGTCACATGGTGATTGTTCTTGCTGAAGGAGCAGGACAAGATTTAATGTCTAAAAGCATGGAGTCTAATACTCTTGAGGATGCGTCTGCTCACAATCTTCTTAAAGATGTTGGCTTGTGGCTATCACAAAACATCAAGGTGAAAAAGTTAGTATGAGCCCAAAATGGTATCTAAGATCGTAAGTGGTAAAAATAAACGAATCAAATAATCACTCATGTTTGATTGTTGCTCCCACTCTCTTTATCAAAATGTATGTGCAAGCATCTAACTTTGTATTTGCTTATATTATTGAATATCAGACTCATGTAAGCGATAGTAACAATTGTATTTTTTTTAACCTTTGTTGTGCAGATGGAAATGCAGATGAATGTAAATCAGGGAAAGCTAAAATCCGAAAACAGAAACATGATTTTGCAAAGCTTGCTTTTGGAAAGAGTTGTGAGGTACCTTCTCTTGAAGCCAGATCTGTGTCGTATGAATTCAAACGCATCAGAGTGGATCGAAACTCATAAATGCATCATAGGAGAACATCATGAAGAGATTCACTCAACTAAGGTAAGCAAGCTGCACAAGCTTACTTCATTATTCTTGCCTGCTCTTTTACTTTGTTGATTAGCTATTGAAGTCCATTTTAATCAAGCATAAGGGTCATGTCCTTGCCCGCTCTTTTATCTGTGATCTGACTACAAAAGTTTAAGCTTATGTTTCTTTATTTGTGTGGGTTATAACCGAAACTTGTGAAGCCCCAAGAACATAAGCTCATGGAGAAGCCATTTCAGCGGGAACTGATGAAAATCCTGTCTCCATAGCTTGGAACAAATGAAAGATTAGGAGTCACGTTAAAAATGATATTGCTTATGTTTTATCCTATCAAAATTATATTTTGCATGACATGTTAAGAATAATATAGGGGTCAGTTTTTACATGAGAAGTGCGTATGGGAGGATGAAGAAGATGAGTGATATGGCTGGTTATGCTTTCCTACGGTTCGGATCAAGAAAGTAGGTTCAGAACTTCAAGTTAATGCACAGATTTTATTCATGCTTACTCTGTAAGAGTGTTGAAGGTAGGATGCAAGATGAACAGCAATCTTATAAAATGACAAGAATCTTACTGTTTTTCTGAGACATTGATCTATACTTTAAATCATTATTGGATAATTTACATGTATAAGTACATGTAGATATGACCATATATGCAAACATATTATTAATAATATACAAAAAATTATCGAGAAAAAGCAGAGTGAAAAAAGAAATGAGATTTGATTAACTTCTCAATGGCTCTGCTGCTAATTACAGCCCGAAAAGTATTTTGCATTCACATGACAACTTAGATGTTATGTACGTGACCAAGAACTTAGAGAATACATGCTTACTAATCCTGAGTAAATCTGTTTCACATAGATATTCTCTGTTAATTAATCACATGTTATAATCATTAGTAAGCATGTAGGAATCAAAAACATACATATATAAAAAGAATTTAAAAAAAACTAGCCGTCAAAAGATAAAAAAGGAGACTTTTTACCTAGAAAAAATAATATTAAAAATTGTAAAAAACATATTCTATTAGTATACGATTTAATCAATTATGATGGTTTTAATTCTAAATATTATAACACATATAAACAAAGATCACACGTAAATAAGAATTCAAAAAAATATAACCAATCTTTTGAATCTAAAACAAATATCAGTCAAAATATTTAATTAACAGAACGAAGTCTTAACTTATACTATATTTAACACCACACGTCTACATCCCAAAACTATTCACCCAAATTTTATACATAAAACCCATAATTAAATTTTTCTAAACCCAAAACAATATGAAAACTAATGTTGCAATTTTTTAATATAAAAACAATTATTGTAAATAAGAAAAATATGTCTTAGCATATATAATTACTCTCCACCTAAAACTTTCTAAAATTTAAAAATTATTGTTATAGATATCTTTTGCAAATACAAACCATAAAATTATTTAAAAAAATAATAATTTAGATCACAAAAAAAATATATCCCGCCCGTAGGGCGGGCCGACCCTAGTATATATATATATTGAAGAAGAAGAAGAAGAAGATAGGGAAATGAAAATAGACGGACCCGAGAGGATACTGGATCCGGCTCTTGAGACGGGTCAGAACTCAGGTGCAGGAAGGATCCTAAAGCGCGTGAGAGAATCTGAGGTGAAGAGCTCTTTTTCTCTCTCACTCAAGTTCTTTATGAAAGAGAAAGAATGAGCTTTTTGAAATACTTGGCTCTCTTCTCACTCTTCTCTATACCAACTTTGTCCATTTCTTCTCGTTTCTTTTAATATTTGTTTCTTTGTGTCAGACGTGTCGGTTTCATACGCTCATCTTTCAAAGAACCAACAAAATTACACAATTTACCACTTTCGTTTTAACCTTTTTCCACCGAATATGAATATATTAAGTTAGGTGAGAAGAGTTGGGCCTTTAACCACACTGGAGTAGAATTGAAAAGTGGGGAACAAAATTACATTGGAAACTAGATTCGATATGCACAACTATTTTATCGCTAAAGTGCATATGGCCAAATGTATACGTTAAACTTTCTCATCTAGCCATGATATGTCAAATTCCAGTAAGACCCCAATAAAAATTAAATCAACATTAACCCTTGTGAGACTTTGAATCCAAGAGCCATTTCGGTAGAACCAAATCTACATAGACCATAAGAGAATGCTGGGTTCGAACACCACATAAAAGTTTATCAGTCATTGTATTATTTGTTCTTGAAATATGTTGGGTAAAAAAATTGGGGAAGAACTTCATGTTGAAATTCTTTCATGTGTAGTAAAAAATGACCACTCTGTCAATGTAGTCACCATCTTAACGAGTTGTGGACAGTCTGTTTGAACACTATATCTATAATGCGAAAAGTTTTCATGCACTTCATTACCCAAATCAAAACATTACATTATGCACACAATTGTGATAGATTTCTTCAGATATTTTTGGTCCTCATCATCAGGTCCATCTCAAGAGTATGTTGGGCCCTAAATTGATTTTTTGAATCCTTTACTATAAAAAATAAGAAAATTTGGGACTTTTTTTTTTTTACAAAGAACATTAAAAATATTTCAAGGCCTAATTTGAGCTTAAAATTTAGAAAATTGTAACGGATTCTGTGCAAATGTACTCTTAGCACATATCCAGGACCGGTTATGCTCATCATATTATGGTTGAGCCTTCTCTGCTGCAAAAACATCCTTATTATGTAAAAATATTGTTCTCTATGTATTCTCCACCTACTTAGAACCCTGTACAATCTTCCAGATTATAACGGGGATGAATTAAGGTTTTTATTTTGAACCAAGCAATTTTGCCCATAAATCTTCTTCAACCTTTACAGTGTATAGAATCTCTTGAGGTTTCCTATTAAATTGGGAGAAACAGAAGCTACACTTTGGTTGGAAGCATAATTACCATTTTTCATCAGAATCCCCAAAACAAGGGAACATAATTGTCATTACCTAAATTACCGGGTCATTAGTGTTTTACAGATGATTCATGGAAATCAAGGATAATTTTCATGAAAATGATGGTACAATACCGTGGAAGGATCTAATGGGCTAATGGGGGCAAGAAATACGAGGCCAGCTTGACACCTCTTCATGCCGAAATAGAGACACTCATTTGGGCTATGGGCCATGTATGTTACGTTTGCAAAAGATGGTTTTGGAACCTAAAAACGGTCAGTATTTACAAATTATTTGGAAGATATCAGATGCTGAATGACAGTTTTTCTCACTCAAAGATCATACATGTTCCCATAACGTAAAATTTAAAATCGGTCATAAAAAATTGCCATTCGCATAGATACAGATTTACCAAGATGGTTCACATAATCTTAATTGAGAAAAAAAATTAAATCAAACTTCATTGGAAGTCTAAATAAGTAATTCGCATTCGCAAAGATCCAAATCATTGAGAACAATCCCAAATTTGAGGGGATTCTAACAAATCCCAAGTTGGTAATACTAATGTACATTCAAAAAGAACATGATTTATCAACTCCTCACCTCCTCCACAAGTATTAAATTGAATATGATCACACTTAAAAGCCATAATACCATAGTTTTAATGACTGGTAAATTACCCGCGATTACTTGCCAAATAAAATGTCTTAATCTTAGGAGATATGTTACTTCCATACAGAGGCGGCCAATGAATATATATTGATCTGCAGACTTTCAAAGCTGGTTTCTGATCTAGATACAGTTTCTTTGTGTTATTACCCGGATTTACTGTATATCTATTTGGGACTGTAAGTTTCATCCATATGAATCTAGTCTAGATAAACAACTCACCACCTAACTTTGAATACTATTAAATCATGTAAATGTATATATGCGTTAAGAAAATCAACATTCCAGGATGACTCCACTAGATTAATTAGATTATCGATCTTAAGTAATTGGCTGAGATTTTCGTTTTTTTGTATTACCGACTTCGAGAGAGGAGCAGGTATCCAAGGACCATTCCATATTGAGATGATTTTCCATGTTTCCATTATTTTGATTAGATTTTTATTAACCAAAGATCATGCTGACATAATATTTCTTCATCCACTATTTTAGTATTAGGATCTCACATTGAAAAACTAAAGGGACAAACACTGTTACATTAGATGAAACAAGATTAAAAGGAGTAACTCAGAATGAAGGAAAAAGAGCGAGAAGATTTAAATGTTTCCAACAGAAGTATGAACAAGAACCAAAAAGTAATTACTTACCACCTTATTTTTCTTCTTCTTTGTTAGATATGCAAGGCAAAGATATAGCTCAAAGAATATCAGCATAGTAACGCATGAGCTGGTCACCTCCGAGTTTTACAAATCATTATCTACAAAACTACAAATTTTATTTTAACCACTATTCTAATTAGAGATCGGCAAATAGGTTGTTCCGTCCCATCTCGTCCTAGACCGCAGTGGAATTTTCTTTAAGCGGGTCACAACGTATCAGGTCCGCGCGGGTTGCGGTGTCTACAATGGCTACCCAAACCCGTCTCCCTATATGTACAAGTTTTTGCGGGTCGGTCCGTGGGACATGTGATAATACATGCAGTAGAACGATTCAGGCCACTCTAAAACGGTTCTGACCACTCTAGGACACAATTCAAGTCGTCGATTCAACTGCACATAATTCATCAGTCATTTCTCTGCTTATTTTTTATTCAAAATAATAATTGTAGTTATTTGTATTACATCCAAAACATATTAACATACAAAGTAAAGATAATTGCAGAAGATGTTTTTTATTATCTTATAACTCATAAGTTCAAAACCAATGTTTTAGTTTGTTGAATGCAAAAATTAAATAAAATCAAACACCAAATCAAAAGTGTCAATCTCAAATTAAATAAAAAGAGAAACCAAATCAAAACACTACTAAAGCTCGAATCGTCATCGCCGGAGCTGTAGTCGTCATCACCAGAGCTCGAATCATTATCACCGAAGCTCGAATCATCAGTATCGCCCGAGATCCTTACGTTTCTTCAGGGGAAGTCATATGAATCGTTTTCTGCTCACTTTTTCACTTGTTTTTCTCAGATAAAACAAAAAATTAAAAAATGCGGATCTTCGTAATTCCGCAGGACCCGCTTTGATCCATCCCGAAAAAAGAAGCAGTCCCGCAAAAACCCGTCCTGCGAGGCCCGGAAATTTGCGGACCTATAAAATTTTATCTCAATACCGTTTCGTGACAATTCTTTACGAGCTACGCATGCAGTTCAGATCTATGATTGCCATCTCTAGTTCTAATCATATGAATGTCCAGGAAGAGGCCAAGCATGGTTTTATCATCTTACCCATGTGATGGCCCTTAACCGAGTGAACTCATCATACCATAATCTACAGACTTTCAACGCATCCCAAAGTTTCTTGAATGAATATACAAAGAGTTATATCAATAAGGTCTTGGCCAATACGCATTTGTTTCTTTAATGTATGATTTAAAATTTTTATTTCTTTATTATTTTAATAGTTCTATAATTTCATATTTCTATTTATAAAAACAAAATTTAATTATTTTTTTTTGTAATCGTCAATTTTAGTGGACCATAAAAAAAAATCCTTGGAAGTCTCACTACAAGAAAACAGGCAATTTACTAGGACGGGTTCTCCTCGTTATTTCCTAGTAAAAGGGCCTTTACTAGGAAATTACGAGGAAACCCGTTTCGTCGAAAGGCGTTCATCGTAAAGCCTATTTTCCTCGTAAAGTCCTAGCTAACTTACGAGGAAACGTTTCCTCGTAAAGGCGTGGATAAGTTTTCCTCGTAAAGTCCACGTAAGCTTTCCTCGTAAGCTCATAGTAAAGACATTTCTCGTAAACTCGTAGTAGACTAATTACGAGGAACTCTCTAGGAAAAGATACGAAGAGCTTACGAGGAAACTTTACGAGGAACTTGCTAGGAATATTTACTAGGAGATGACTTCGAAAGCTTTACGAGGAAATTGCTTGGAAATGTTTTTTTCTTTTAAAAAAAATATTTATAAATTAAAAATTATATATATATATTAAAAAAATTAGAAAAACCAAATTAAAAATAAAAATTTAAATAATTAAATAATTATAAATAACTAAATAATATACAATGAATAAGTTTAAAAATTCATAATATACAAATTTAAAACTAAAACGGATGCTGCTCATGAAATTGTTGCACGAAGTCGTCGTCTCCAGTG